GGGGGGGGCGTACTCTTATGTTTTGCATGCCTTAGCGGTTAGACCATTGACCACGCGTCCTCGAGAGGACGGAGCATTGTTCCCACAGGACTGATCACCGATGGACAATCGTTCCTTTATGATTTGTCAAAGGTGACTTAAAAATGTCTTCCCTATTCTATATATCCTAACGATATCCCTTCCCGCCATTTCAACCCACCTCCTATGCCCCAGTACAGCTACCGTCCTTTCCTCTCTATTCCATGCCTCAAACATCTCCCTGTACGTTCCATCTATTTTTCCCAGCTCAGTCACGTACACTTCCCTCTCCTTCTTGTACAACGGACATTCCGCGACTACATGAACACGGTCTTCGCATTCGAAGCCGCAATCACATTTGAACTCGTCGTCTTCCTCGTCATTCGTCCTATGTCTTCGTCGACGTTCTCGAAGGCCTATGTCCCCGGTCCTGAATTTGACCTTAAGCTTTGTTCCTGCATCCATTGGTCCATGTAGGTAGTCCTTGAACCCTATTCCTTCCTTCAACATTCCGTACACTTCTAGACCCTCCTTATCCTTGGATTCTTTCCTCAGATTCTGTTCTTCTCTCTCGGCACAAGCAACAGATATCTTCTCCTTGAACCCCTGTAGACCCTCCGTTTCCAGCGTTTCATCTTCGTCGATGTCGAGCCCCTTCCATACGTCCTCTACAACCTTGACCCATTCCGTGGGTTGTCTACCCCTCTTTTTGTTTGCCCACTTCGCCTCCCATACAATTCTCGGCAACCTCTCCTCTCCCATTCCGCACATGCGGTACTGCCATGTCAGCTTCCTTGCGTCTCTTCCCGGCCGTAGGGATTGGATCCCTAATTCCGCCCTGACGGCTGCATTACTTGTGCGCTTGGAGCATCCAAGGATGATTTTCGCTGCTTTCATCTGCGCCGCCTCGAGTTCTTTCACTACCTTCTTATTTCCTTCCCATACTTCTCCGGCGTACTCTAGCGGCGGTACGATTACGCTCTTCAAAACCGTCAATTTGATGCGTGTATCGAGGTGCCGGTTTGCGAGTATTGGGTGCAGCTTCCCTGCTCGTGCTTTGCCCTTTTCCGCTACCTTGGACATGTGTGCATTCCACGAGCAGTCTTTTGCGATCTCTACTCCGAGGTATGTGTACTGGTCCACTACTGCAATCTCCTCGATCCCCCACTTCCATCTATGTTCTACTGGTTCCTCCTTGTTCTCGTTGCATACCATGACGGCACTCTTCTGAACGTTGGCAGACAATCTCCACTTATCAGTAAACTTCTTCGCCGCGTCAATTTGCAGTTGCAGTCCCTCAGGGGTGTCCGACATACCGACAAAATCATCCGCAAACAGCATTCCTGAAACCGACGTTTCCGTGTCCCATACTTTTTCTCCCTTCCGGACTGCCTCTACGACCTCCAACAGATCGTTGATGAACACCTGGAACAATGTTGGGGACAGCGTGCAACCTTGTGGGACC